ATAAGCCCAAGAAATTTCTGGCAGGGTTCACGGTGGGGGAAATTTTCTCAGTCAGTGATTCCAGAAATACTGGCTCAGCTGTGCCAGAGGGGTCGTACGGGGTCTGCTCTCCATTGTGAGGAAGACAAAGTTGGGTCACAGATCCTTGTTAAGCCTTGTCTGCCATGAGAAAATGAGATTGACCCACTAAAAGAATCTTAACTGCGTTTCCTTTTGATGATGGCGGCAAGATGTATGTTTCATGTAATCAACCTCTCAGAAAAAGGATTCTAGAAGGTCTGGCTCCAGCGATGAGGGCTCACAGCCCCCAGTGCAGACCTGTGGCAATCAGAAACCTTTTTGGAATTCTGTTAGCAAGGCAGCTTGATTTTGACAGCTGGTTTCAAAAGAGTCTGTCTCTTTAAGATGCTTAATATGGGCCCAGTGAACACAGGTTGGGTACACATCAGAGACTGATTTCTTTGTAGGACACCGTTTTGTACCACTTCCAGCTTTGTGATCTGTACACCAGGCCAGTCCCAGGCTGCTGGTCCACGAAGAATTTGGGCCCATCCTTGACCTCGACAGGATTTTGGAGCAGCATCAGCTAAGTGGTTCTCTTACATTTCCGAGAGAGAGAGTATCATTAAAAGAAACAACCATAATATTTTAATTCCCGGAAATGACTCTTCTGATGATTATCCACAGCCCATCAAAATTAACTGGGTTTTCGTCTGCATAACACGCCTTCCGTTTTAAAGTATTTAATATTTAAAGTCTCTTTCTGGAAACGCGCACTGCGTTTTGATGACAATTTCTCAGGACCCATTAAAAGGTAAGGGATAATGAAATGACAGCACTGGTGTAGGGAGGGATTATTCGAGGGCCGATTCGAGGGAGAAGGATCCCCCCTGAAAACTGCTGATAATGTCAACAGCCTCCCAGGGTTCTGCGGCCGTTTCTGAGGCTGGGAAAGCACCTGGCAGAGCACCCAGCCATCAGACGCCTGACGAAGGTGAATGGGAAGCAAGACATCAGCCGTCAGGGAATCAGAAATCCTCCTGACGGGGTGGCACCATCCAGCCGTCGAAGCAGCAGCGACACGTGACTGGCACTGAACGCCAGGTAACAGGTGCCGTCTTGACTCCCGAGTGGGGAGTGTCAGCTGGGTAGACAGAAGGTTGGCGGAATCCCATCTGATTTGCGCGGTGAATGCCATCGCCCCGTGAGCACCACTAGACAGACCTTCTAGAATGTGAGCTTGGAGCAGACCCTGCTGTCCGGGCCGGCTGCAGGGATTCTGACACGGTGGAGTTGGGTGCTGCCTGCTCATGGGGTTTTGACATGCTCCCCGGGGGACTGTCATGTGCAGCCAAGGCTGAGAGCCAGCTAATTCCTCATTTAACCGTTCCGGGTGTTACAATATATAATCCGGAAGCTGCATCTGTAAGAGGTAACGCACTGTGGGGTGTCCACCAGAATCCTGGTTTTGTTCCTTGTCTCGTCTCCTAGGAGCATCCAGGAGCCGTTAGCAGGGGCCCCATACCAGGCGCAGGTTGAACCAAGAACGGGTTGAGCTGGGGTTTCTCCGCCTTGGCGTTGTGGACACGTGGAGCCGGCTAATTCTCTGTGGCGAGGGCCGTCCTGTGCACGTAGGATGTTCAGCCGCATGCTGGTCTCTACCTGTTGCCAGTAGCACCCCCAGCCCCCAGGTGGTGACCGAAAACCGAGAGTTGCACAGCTGTCACGCAGGGCCTGTCGCCTTGTCGGGGATTGTTTCAGGCACAGGCATCTAGGGATGGGCCGCGAGGTAGGAACGCCTTTGGGGAAACATTCTCCTCAACCTTAAAAAGACGTGGAGGGAGAGAGGTGTTCTCTTTCTGTGGGATGCACCGAGGTGGTCCATATCCGGGTCCCTGAGCGCATCGTGGAGGTGTGGACTTCACTCTTCCCGGAGCTACCCTTCCCTTGTACTTGTCACCTTGGGAAGCGATCCCACCCCCTTTGGCTGACAAGGCAGTGCTGTTATTGGCAACTAAGCGTGTCCAAAGAGCTCGATCCTAAATTCGGGCAATTCTTCCTGGGCAACAGTACTGTTTCTCTTTGGAAGGCAGACATGTCCCCCTGTCCAATATGAATAACTGGTCAAAATGGACCCACCAAATAGGGAGCTATAGACATAGAGCACAGATTACCACCACCAAGCAGGGTAGCGTCCCTGAGACATTTACGAATGTGCTATATAAACGTGCTTTGGCTTTGCTCAAGGAGAGAGCGACAAAGCATCACATTTCACCCGCGGTAGCCAGGGGCCCAAGGAAGCAGATGCTCTCTATCTATTAGATACAAATCTAACCCTAGGCAGGTGTCTGAGGAACTTCCAGGCGCCTCTCTTGGTGAAAGCCTCAGCGTAGGAGAGGCAAACATTCGAACTGATTCCTTTGTAAGAGTCAGCCTGACGTGTAGAAACCAGCTCCCTTCCTATTTCCAAAGTGATTTGTGGGGCCGATGGTGTCATGTTGTCACGGGCCCTCTGATTTTTGTGTCCGGGCGGTGACTCACGTCCCCCCACCCCCATTTCCATTTACTGAAAAGTTTTTTTTTTTTTTTTTTTTTTTCCCAAAGAGGCTGCAGCTCAAAGCAGATACTTAACATTACTGGTAGGCTAAGATTCCAGGGGATGGCTGCATGGGTACCTTTTTAGGACTTCTGTACTCATCCGGGTTGTCGTTGTTGTTGTCTTGTTGTTAACAAAGTGTCCCAAGAAGACGGTAGGGAAATCCGTCATTGTGAGAGGGGCTCTCTCTTCCCCCAAGGTGGGTCTCAGGGGTAAAATCTGTGCATGAGAAATGATTGGGTTAGAAAGGAACCGGACGAGAAAAGCAGTAGTTAGTATTCCCCATGGCTCTGTCAAGGGGAGCATTCCACTCAACTGGACTTGTCTCTCAAATCACTTACCCAGGAAGAAACAAAAAAGAAGCTAGTCCGGGAGCACATGTTTTCTCCGAGCCCCGAAAAGTTTTAATCTTGAATCAAAATTCACATCAACATGTTTACTATCGAATTTAGGTCACGTGTCATTGAAAACACAAAATCAGTCTTGAAACTGAATTTCAAGATCCGCTGAGGTAGTGGGTTGACGATTCCCAGGGAGTGCGGCCATCAGTATTGGGAGATGCTGGCTCTCCTACGGAGGCAGACGAAACACAGCTGTGAGCTGTGGGCTCCGCCGTGGGACAGCTGTGGGCAGAGTCCCAGGTCACTGCTTTCCACCACGCGACCCCTCCCCCCCCCGCCCCGACCCCTGACGATGGCTTCCTTCTGTTTAAACAGAGGACTGACTGGATTACAAACCTCACTCAAAGTTGTCCTGAGGATTAAGACAAAGTAACATAAAATGCTTTGCCCAGCGCATGGTGGTGGCTTCTAGGAACACTTGTAACAGGTGCCGGCTAGGACGGTTAACTGTCGCCAGTTACTGTTCAGGGTTAGATCTGACGACATAAGGTGCCAATTCCTCCACCTAAATCTAATTAAAATGTATAAGCTGCAGAATACCAAAAAAAAAAAAAAAAAAAAAAAAAAATAAAAAAAAGGAAAAAAAAAATAATTATCCTTACAGGGAACCTTCAATGTGCAAACAGCATGTTTAAAGAAGTTCATTTTCAGTGGATGCTTTAGAGGACTCTGTTCCCATAGCAACAGTGTTATAAAAGTGCCGTTAGGATGCCAACCACTCACAAAGACAAATTAACCTTTAATTACCCCAAATACTGGAGGTTTATTCTGAGAAGGTCAAACATGATGGGACTTTACTGGAAATGAAACGCTGGAAAAACAAAATTGGTCAGATGAGATCAAAGTGCTTTAAAATCCTGTGGCTTGAAGGAAAGGACCAGCTAGAGGCCCGGTGGGGAAGCGGATGGGCCCCCTGGGCTGGGAGGCCAGGCCCTTGGGTCAAACTTCCGCCTGTCTGCCTTGGCGCGAGCCCCTGACACTCCCGGGTCCGAAGTGGGTTCCTCGCGGTCTTCGAACGGGCACAGGCCGGTGGGAGAGCGAGAGAGGCACAGACCTGCCCGCCCCGAGATCCCGGCTGGACCCGAGGCGGGCCGTGCTGCTCCGCGCGAACACCCGCCACGACCTCCACGGCCACGCGCCCGCGGGACGGGCGCACCTAGCGGTGGCTGCAGCACACGAGGGGCTGGCGGCCCCAGGAGGGGGCAGCGGGTGGACCCGGGTTGTGCCAGGAGGGCCGAGACCCGCTAGGGGGTGGGCAGCCAGCGCGGGGGTGATGTAATTGCACGGGCAGCCGCATTCCCGGCTTCCCCGCGGAGGAAAACCATCCCCCTGCACAGAAGTGAAGGCCTCACTGGGGTCACAAAGCTATTGGATACCAGGCTAAGTCAAGTCTTGCCCGGAGGCCTGGAGAACAGGTCAAGTGAGCGCTCGGGGATGCGGGCAGTTATAAATTGAATCCAAAGCTATTTATTGGATTACTTTAACGGCCATCTCCCCATGTGTATTTTACACACACTAGTTCAATCAAACGTTAATTAGGTGCTAAGTATAAAAAAAAAAGATCCTTGGTCAAATAATCTGGATACTGGCAGGTGAGAAAGTTAAATCACATGTCTCTGCCGTAGGACCTCAGAGCCTTTAATATGCTAATTTGCCCCGTGAATTTTCATGAAGCGAATGGAGTAGGAGGCAAGTTTTCTAAGCCCAAGCGACCTAAAGCCTTCCTTCCCAGTGCCTCGCCCAGGACAAGCGTCCCTGGATGTGCTTGGGGAAGGTCTGCGTCCGGGGGGTGGGAGGCACCAGCCACCCTCAGCAGTGGGAAGGTGGCTCGCCCTCTCACACGACACAGCCCTGCCCACACCTCCCTTTCCCCTTTGGCCTTGGGCTACGTGTATGCAATCCTGTGATGGTTTTAGCCCCTCATCTGACACGGCGCGCACACCTATAATCTGAAAACGTAGAAAACCACACAAATCACTTGTGACACAAAGGAAGCTCCGACAGCAGGATTTCAGGCACCTTTATTCATGGCGGGTACCCCTGGTCAGGGGAGCCTGCCTCCGAAATCTTTGTCACGTAAGGAAGACAACTCCCACCCAAGTCCCGACAGCAATCGGCCGCATCACTTCCGCTCGCCACTGACCAGGCTCGCGAGCTTCGTGCACACGGGGCTCCTGTCAGCTGGAGGCCAGCAGCCCCGGGGCTCGCGGCTCAGCCATGCTCGGCGTGGCCTACCAGCCCATCAGAGGAGTTTCTGTGGCAGGGCAGTAACAGTGGGTCATTCACTCAGCTCAGAGGAAACTTACTCCTTTGTGTTACCTACGTTATTTATAAATACGACAAGTTATTTCTCAGTAATATTATATATTTGCAATACAAACACGACTGGTGATATAGGAAACTTTAAAAAAAACTCACACTGTTCATTCAGGGTTTCTAAGAAGCACTAGACCATCCCTCAACTTTTCCCATTTTTTTTGTAGACGGAGTCACGTTTGCTGTGACAATCACAGGGATCTCGTGCACGGTCAGGGCCGGCCTCTAGGCTTAGCGCTCTGGGCACTGCCTTTTTGACTGGTAGGAGTTACTACCCCTGTCTCGTAAGGTCAATAATAAAACCATTACTCTGTAAGAAATCGTTTAAAGAAACAGTGTATCTTAAAAACTTGAGCCTGTGACAAGTCATTTACCATTTTGTAGCCGGGCTATGGCACGAACTTAGCATGATCTGCTCTCCGGTTCTGTTCCTTCTCTGGTCAGTAGCTCCAAGACAAGACGGCGAGCTGGGTCGTGAAATCCTGCCAGATTTTCAACGAGGACTATCGCAGACGAACAGCACAGGGGCCTACTCGAGTGTTCAAATCTCATGCAAAACTCTAACTAATGAACGCCTCACTACATGAGGCAGTTCTGTCATTTTCCAGATTTGAGAATTCTAGCACACAGAAGCGGGAGTGGCCATTCCTCATTACTCTGGCGTCCGAACCTCAGAGCCTTAAGACAGCAAACTGCGGTTCAACTCTGAATTTTGGCAACAGGGCAGCGCCAGAGATTTCTGAACGAACAATTTTTAAACGTTCTGAACCACTTGGAAAGTATCACCGACGTGCTATTTGGTGTCGGCTCAACAGTCACTCTGCGCTGAGAATCAGAGAGTCGTCAACTTGCCACACGTCTCCCTTCACAAAATCTGATTGGAACTGAAGGACCTACCATATATCTAATAAAAATTTACACAGCAACTTTCATCAAACAGCAACTACTACAAAAGGAATGATAGAAAACGATCAGTTCACAAATATACGCTAAAAAACTTGACAATTTTATGCAGGAACCGCCAAAGTTTTAGTGTTTAATATTTAACAGCACGACTGACCAAGGTCCAAGATGTGACGTTACCATGTTCAAGAAACGGGGGGGAAATCACTCTATGAACTAACTATGTAGTATGTGGTAAGAACGCACACTTTCTAACAGAAAACCTGTCTACGCATAGTAGTTGCTTCAGAAAGCCATTCGGTCTTCTCTTCGCTTGTAAAAACGGTGTTCCGGGTCTCAGGGTGAATTAGCAACCTGTTGGGAGAGAAAAAACCATCGACATGTTATGCTCAGAGAAGGACAAGAATGATACATACAATTAGCAACTATAAACCCTTTGAGAACCCTCTAGGGAGCTAAACTTAAGTTTCTCTGCAGATGCCCCGACAAAGACACAACAGATCGACTGGAAATCGTTACTTAAAAACTTCTGAATGCATCCCAGCTTCTCTTGCTGTTACCCCCATCACTAAAGTCTCCAAGTTCACTTCACCTCCCGTCGCTGCAGTTCTCGGGAGGATGTTCTCACTCACTGTGGCGGGACTTTGGACTGCCCCGCCGTAGGAGGCCCAGAAGCTTCTACGACTGGCAGGGCATTTCCCAGGACGCCCCTACACAGGAATAAAGAGAGGACAAGCCACACGGAACTGTGTGCCTCACTCACACAGCGGATCAGCCCAATCGGTCAGAGTAACAGCAAATTTCCAGGTCTTTTACCTCCCAAGTCTCTATTTTCTTGGACTTCAAAGCAACCTGTATTTTACGGCTACTTAGGATTTTGGTCCAGCCAGGACATGCCCAGCACACTTAAGAAGACAAAAGGAATTTGGTGCCTTTGGCTGTGTATTCTGCTTGGCACCATAGTTACCGAAGATTCTCCGGAAACTTTATTTTTACAGTGAGTTTTTAATTCACGGAGTTAAACGGGATGAAAATGAAAATCCACTGAATTAAATGGGCTGAAAATGGTATGAGAGAAAAGGGAGTTTCAAAACTACTTCTGGGTTGCGATGAGGTAGCTATCATCCTCACGGAAAGCCTTAAAATGAGAAAGTCACTACGGGGAAACTGGAGGCCAAGTGCATCTTGCGGCCTTGCTACATGGTTACTTTTTTTTTCTTTTTTTTTATTTAAAAAAATTTTTTTTTCAACGTTTTTTATTTTATTTTTTGGGACAGAGAGAGACAGAGCATGAATGGGGGAGGGGCAGAGAGAGAGGGAGACACAGAATCGGAAACAGGCTCCAGGCTCCGAGCCATCAGCCCAGAGCCCGACGCGGGGCTCGAACTCACGGACCGCGAGATCGTGACCTGGCTGAAGTCGGACGCTTAACCGACTGCGCCACCCAGGCGCCCCGCTACATGGCTACTTTCAATTATCAGTCTTTTGTCGGATATCTGGAACTACGTAGTGGGAATTTAAATCAAATTATTCGTCTTTTCTCGGGTATCTGGAACTACGTGGTGGGACTTTAAATCAACTCTAGGGTGAAGGCTTAACGTGGCCTCATCTAGTTCATCGAAGTCACAATCAACTGCCGTCCTGGCATTTATCTAGTGCAGGAATTCAAAGCATTTATGAAGGCGGCAATGTGGGGTCTGGGTTATCAAAAAAAAAAGGAAATAAAAAAAAAAAAGAAGAAGAAGAAAAATCTGCCAGTGGTAAGAATTCTCAGGCCAATGAAACGCATTTCTTGGGTTCTGGCTGCCATGATATAAACTCAGGGACTACCTAATTAATGTTAACCAATTACCTTAACTAATACGGATGCAGGTCTCATTAATAAACACTGGGAAAATAAACTCCTGCTAGCGAATTCGGCATGAAAAATCTGCAAGCTCGGAGCCCGCGGAGGGGCCGGTACAAGAGACCCTTGCGAGGATCACGGCTGGGAAGTGAGGGGCAGAAAGTCTGACCGCACGGAAGTCACCGCGACGCACAAGCGCCATCCCGAGGCTGTGCCTTCCCTCACCTTCAACTCTTTGGCGTGGCTGGGATCTTGCTTTCGCCTTCCAGTTCTTCCACGCCAGCCTGTGTCATGAGGTCTGCAATGTTTTTCTCCAGGTCGTCAATGCGACTGCTCATGTCATCAAGTGGTGAAGTCAAAGGCCACACACAACCAACACCCCTCACTCCTCACCCTTCCCTCCAGGGCCCCTGGAGACTTCGGCCCCCCGCACAGCTGTCTCAGAGGAACTGCCTTTTCCAACTTCCTTTGAGTACCGACTTCTGCCGGCCAAGAGTGCAGGAGTCTGGGGGCCACGGTCACATCCCAGCCCTGCCCTTTACTAGCTCTGGGACCTGGGCAAGTTCTTGCAACCTTCCGAAGCTTCCGCGGTCTGCATGGGCTAACTAAAGGGAACATTGTCACTTCAGCAGTCTACACTGCTGGTAGACTGGAAGTCCCCAGCGGCCAGGGGTCCAGCTCAGCTGTATCCCCAGCCCTTGGCACAGTACCTAAGACTACATCCAAAATCAGTACCAAAAAAAAAAAAAAAAAAAAAAGGAAAGGAAAAAAGGTGGTGAACGACCGCCTGAGGCTGTCCCGCAAAACCTCACGTTTGTCAACACCGCCGCCCGGACGCAGGCGAGGCTAACCACGCGTACAAAGGATATTTCTGCCAATGATCTGGTCGGACATGGTCTGAAATTTATCTTGCATCTGTTGTAGGAGCGTCTCCACCTACGAAACAGTGACACACGGCACCTCGCACTTGACCCGAGACGCCTGCGCGGGGTCAGCACGGGAGGGGGTGGGCCCGGTGCCCGTCCGGCCGGGACCTCTCCCTCTCCGGGTTTCGGTTTCCCCGCCCGTCCAGTGGGCCCTTTCCCGTCGCGGCCGCTGCGAGTCACAGTTCGCCGGGCCTTCCTCTCGTTTGGGCGGCGTGGAGGCCTCGGGGCGTGAGGGGGAGCGCGGGGAGAGCGGGGGGTGTGGGGACTGGGGGTCGTCCGGGGCGGGGGGGACGGCTCAGGGACAGGCGAGCGCGACTAAGGGAGGGGAGGCCGGGCCTGGGGGCCTCGGCCGGCGAAGCCTCTGGAAACCCGGCCCCGCGCGGCCACGGAGAGGGCGCTTCGGTCCGGGGCTCCCGCGGCCTCGGGCTCGGCAGGCGTCCCTTACCACCGAGGTGAGGTCCTGCATGGTCTTGGGGTCAGTCTCGGCCATCTCCCCGGTTCCCAGCTTGGCGGCGAAGTCTCAACCGTCACCTGCACTTCCGTTTGTCCGCGCACACGCCCCGCCCCCTGCGGCCTCCTCTCGCGAGACGGAGGCAGGCCGCGGGACCGCGAGGCGTTGTGGGAATCGTAGTTCGCGGCACGGGCCGGAAGGGAGGGTCTGCCTTCTCGCGTTTCCGTTCCGAGCGAGGCCCCGCCCCTGGAGGCCCCGCCCCGCACTGACCCCCGGGAGGAGAAAAGGGGGCAGGCCCTGACCTGGGGACCGCGGGAGGGGATGGTGATCTTGGCCTTTTCCCAGGCTGCCGTTAAAGGCCATGCTGTTTTGTTTGGCCTGTTGGGACGCACTTACTGGGCGCCTGCGAGGTCCCAAGCCCAGGACTGTGCCACCGCCTGTCCTCCCAACAAAACCCTGCAACCCCCGAGTAGGGAGAAGGGGGTCGGGTCACTGGAGCCGGAAAAATGAGGCCCCGGGTGTGAGAGGCACGTCCACCATGCACACAATGCCCAGCTGCAGGCCTGGTCACACCCTAGACCCCAGCGTTCCTCCTTCTCCCCAGGAGGGTCGAGTGGAGGTGCTGCACATTTGGCACATTTGGGCAGGTTGTTTTTGACTTTGCAGCATAACGTACGTTCCGGATGGTGCAGAAATCCCAAGTGACTTTTCACCAAGTTAACCTGTTAACCAGCTCCAGGGCAGGAAACAGGACCGGCCTCCAGGAAGCCCCTCACCTCAGCCCCTTTGCTATCACCCCCCAGCCCACCCACCCACGAGGGGCACAATCGTTTGTCTCCTGTGTTTCCACGTCGTGTGAGTGGAACCAGACGGAAGCTCTCCCTAGCGCCCGGCTCCTTTCATTCAACATGATGGCCCATGCTGTTGAGTGGCCGAGGTGGGGGCAGCGGCGGGGTTCAGAGGCTGGATTTGGGTGTTTAAGGAGGGGGCTGCTGCTGAGTTGGGACCTTGAGTTCCAGCCTCACAGGTGGTCTTGGGATTGGACCTCATTAACAAGGGGGTAGGTGAGTCCTGGGACTGATGGCCTGTCATGTTCCAGCAACTGTTCACCCTGGGTAGCTAATTTAAGGACTGTGGGGCTCAGCTGCAGCTTGATTTTAGCTGCAGAGAAGGCTGTAGGGGACCCCCCCCCCCGCCAGCATCTGTAAAAAACCTGGGGTGGGGGGCTGGCCATGGGGAGGGTAAGACTCAGCTCTCTTCACCAGCTCTGCCCCCTGACTTCACCCACTCGTGTCTCCTCGCCTCTGCCCACCACCTCCGTTTCCACCCCACCCCAGACCTTCTTTCCCATGACAAAGGGGCAAACCTCTGTATTTGGTTGTTGTTAACTGCTATGTGGTTGGTACTTTACCTGATTACTTAAAATAAACACCTCTCTGTGTTCCAACCTAATCCTCAGAAGAACCCTGTGATAGGATTACAACCATTTTCCAGTTTTGAGAAAACGGACTGGAGAGGCTAAGGCTCTTAAAAACCGGGTGGTCCCGTTAGGAAAAGACAAGACGTGATCCCAGGGCTTTCTGACTCTACCTTCTCCTGTTTCTATCATTCTAGAATTCTCTGAGTTGCCCGAGTTTAGAAGCAATGTTGCACAACAGCGGCACCTTTGGCATTTTGGGTCATAATTCTCCATTGCTGTGGGTGGGTGGGTGGGTGGGTGGGGGTGCGGCGTGCCCTGTACATTGTAGGATGCCGAACAGCTTCTCTGACTTCTGCCTACTAGATGCTTCCACTTCTAGATACTCTAGACTGCCCACTGTCTCCAGGGGTTGGGGGGAGTTGCCCTCAGCTGAGAACTAGTCGCTTTAGAAGGATCTATGGACGTTGCCTAGAATTCTGTTGACTCTGTCTTCAAGTATGAATTTATTTTCAGTTGGGGCATTCCTTGAGACTATTCCTCTGGATATATTGACATTGGCCTATCCATTGACATTGGATAGGTTTCCTGGGCCTGCTGGCACAAAGTATCACCCACTGGGTGGCTTAAAACAACAGACATTTATATTCCCACAGCTCTGGAGACCAGGAGTCTGAAAGCAGGGTGGCAAGGTGTTGGTGCCTCTCTCCCAGCTTCTGGTGGTTGCTGGCAATGCTTGGTGGCCCTTGGCTCATAGATGCACCTGCCCATCTCTGCCTCCGTCTCTTCACATGGGCTCCTCCCTGGATGTGTCCTCTCCTTAGAAGGTCACCAGTCATGCTGGATTGGGGACCCAGCCTGTTCCAGTATGACCTCATTATGCCTAATTACCCCTGCAGAGACCCTGTTTCCAAATAAGTTACATTCTGAGGTATTAGGGGTTAGGATTTCAACATGTCTTTTTTTCTGGAAGGGGCGGGGGACCCAATTCAACCCAAAGCAGCTGGTAAAGTTACACCACGTGAAATCTGCAACCCACACCGTATTTTATAAAGTGTCTACATAAAGCTCTGGGATAATTTAGCTGGAGAGCAGCCAAGGCTGGGTAGGATTTCAGGCCTTCTTGCTTCTTGCCCCAATTATTGGGGCTCCCCCACTCTGCACAGAAGCCTGGATACCCACACTCTGGATTTGTAGCCAGATTTGGCTTATGGCTGTGAACAACACAGAATGGGAATTAGCATGAGGACCTACAGTTTTGGGGTGTGTGTGTGTGTGTGT